ATTTTATTTTATTTTATTCTATTTTATTTTAGCAACAGCCTGCTCAGTTTACCAATCCAGAAACTCCTGGCTATGTTGGATTTGCAAACCTTCCGAATCAAGTTCACCGAAAGTCTGTGAAAAAGGGGTTTGAATTTACTCTTATGGTGGTTGGTAAGGAAAGGTTTTGTAGTCTTTCACAAAATTAGTACTTGCTCATAGAGAATTTGGAATTAAAATTAATGTTACTTCCGCTGTTGGAAGGCTTCAGGTTGCGTAAGAAAGCTCTTCTGTACTGTAGCATTTCAATTTCTTTTGTAGTTTATTAATTCATGCAGTAGTTGTTTTCCACACTACAAACTGTGTTTGAACCCATTAATTTGTGAGTGAAGAAACTCCATTATGTACTTCAGAAATCATTAGTTCCTTCCATTTCTTCTGTCTTGAAGGATTCTATGATTTAATTTCAAAATAGTTTAAAACTGTTTTTGCATTTGAGTATACTATTTGTTTGCATGTCTTGATTGAAATAATAGTATTAAAAAGACCATTTAAAATGTTCTTTATGCTTCTGTAGTTCAAAAGAATCTGAACTCCGGTCTTTCCACCCCTTTTAAAGGGAAGAATTAGAATTGGATTAGTTGGTTCTGATGTGAGCTTTTACTTCTTAAATTGATCTCAGATTTTCTGTTAGCCATTATAATTTAAAGATTAATTCTATTTGATATTTCATTGAGATACATAGAATGGAAAGAAAAATACAATGTGTCTGCAGAAATATGTTCTTTCTCTGAAAGGTTGGTGTCATTTTTTGCAAATTAAGTAGGGTTCCAAATCAAGTTTGGGCATCTTCTATATCTCTTCTGCTTGGGAGTTGTAACTTCTGAATTTTGGCGTTTGAACTCTGAAATTCTCGCTTTTGCAAAAGGTACCCTGATAAAATTAGGTTCTTTATTACCTGGCATCACAAGAAGTAAATCCTATTTGTGTGTTAGATTTGTCCAAGAGATCACAGTCAAAATGAGCAGGATAGGTGAGGTGGGACATGACAGGAGGTGTTTAAGTTCTTAATAGGTTTGGCTTCTAGTAATTACAGAAAGAGTCTATCCTCAAACCTTTCATTAGTTTAGCCAAATGACAGCGCTAGTATTTCTTTTATTCTGTTTCTGTCTTTTGCAGTTCAGTATTGAGAGAGTTGGCCCTTATTTTTGTCTTCCTAGAATTTTATCACAGTTGTTTACTGTATCTTCCATTGGATTTCCTTAGGATAATATCATAATGGATGTCTTATGAAATGTAAGGGCACAACCAAGTTTCAAGGAGATACATCACATTACGGTATCTGCTGTTAACGCTTCAAAATTTATTGTTCAGTGATCCTAAAAATCGGAACAGTTCTGAGAAACACAAGTTGTACTTTGTCTAAACTTAATTTCTAGCTGTCTTTGAGGTTAATTACAAATAGCGCTATGTGGAACAGTTCTGGCAGAAAGATATTTGAAATTATATAGACCAAGCAGTTGTTTCTAGCCTCTTGTAAATACAAAATAGGGGGAAATGACGTTGTGTCAGAGTAACAGAAAGGCAATTAACCCCACTCATCTCTCAGAGTAGAATTTAACTTCACAGTTGTTGTCTGCCAGTACTCTTAACGAAAAAATGAAAACTAGAGGAAGACAACTTGGAGAAAAGTAGTATCATTGAATATTTGGGCTGATATTTTAAGGTAAACTAGCAGAGGGTGGCAATTGACTGTGCTTTAAATTGTTGATTATTTCAACAGTTTGGTATGTGAATTCTTTGTCTTGAAATATGCATAGGGTTTAAGTATGTTCTCTTGTGAGCTGTATCACAGTCCCTGTATTAAACTATTATTCTTCATTATGTTGACATGGTTCTTAATTTCTGAGCAGGAGAATTGTTTCTTTAAAAGCTACCTGCCCTTACAGAGTCCTAATCAATTATTATTCTTGACATTGTTTTTTTTTCTGCTATTGTTTATTATGGTTTGTGAAATTATGAGCTGGGGTTTATAACCCTTTGGCTGTGCTGCTTCCAAAGAATTCCTACCCACTTGTACTTATCAACAATTTCATGTTTATTTTCATTATTAGGCTATGACTTCATCTAATACTTATTTCACTTGAGAGTCACTAAACTCTTAACTACTGTGGCCAGTAGTGGGTTAGGGTTAGATCTTTTCATTAATCCTTGATCAATGAAAACTGATTTGTTTTACATGTAATATTTACTGGAAGTATGGAATGTGCCACTGGTTAAAAATCATACTTTTTCTGGTTTTGCTGAAATGGTGTCATGTAACTGTTGAGTTACTCTGGCTGCATGTCTCTCACTGGCGAAGACTGCACTGATAAAAGCCGATCCTGAGAGATGCACTGTATAAAGCCTTAAAAGCTGTCAATTCCTTGTCAAATATTTAAGAAATAATTCCATCTCTTTTTTTCTTTTGTTCAGATTTTTATTGTCAGACTCCTATTGTGGAATAGTTTGTGTTATTCAGAGGGATTGTGCAGCCCATCATTTTTAACATCTTTTTTTTAATTAATTCTATCAACACCTAAAATTAAACCAAAATTCTAGAAAAGGATTTGTTCAGTGAGTCGAGGTACTGAGCACTTTGAGTTGCTGGTCTTTTTTATGCTGTGAACATTTGTTCTGATTAAGATCTTGATATTTAGCTAATTTGTTGGCTTTTGAACTTTCCTTAGGGCCCAGTCAGTAGCCCTAGAACAAAAATATATTTATGGTACACTTTAGTGATCCCTAGTTTCATCAGTGAAAAACTGCTCTGAGTGTACGCTCAGTGTCCACATCATATTCTGCTTCACTTGGGTTCTTGTTTGTCATATTAGCAGAAAAAGCAGAAAAAAATCCCAGTTTATGATAGCTAGCTGCTCAGAAGTTCAACAATGCTTTTTTCATTGTTTAAATTTATGATCTAGACAGGATCTAGATTCTCATTGCATATGATTTCTTACATTCTGAAGTGGTAGGAGAAAAGCATGCCTTAAAATAGCAGGAGACGTGAAATGGGAAATTTTAAGTCTAAAATGATAGAAACTCCACGGACTAGCAGATGTAATTACAAATTATCAGTGAAAGCTCTGAGAAAATGTATTATAAGGCTAAGATGTAAAAATTGCTATTCAGCCTTTTATTGCAAACTTTTCTAATGTTTTAAATTTTTAAATTCCAAGATTTACATTTAACATGAAAAAAATACATAGTTAGATGATACTGTCTTTAATCACAGGTGAATCGGGATTGGGAAAATCTACATTAATAAACAGCCTCTTCTTGACAGATCTATACCCAGAAAGAATAATCCCAGGAGCTGCTGGTAAATACACTTTTGTTCTAGTTGTTCTATTCTCAATGATTTTTGAAGTTGAATACTTTCATCTTTGGATTTTAGTAAAAGCCAGTAGTGATTTGTAGCTGTAATAATTTCTAATGTACATCCTGATACTTGGAACTCTTGGATAGAATTGGCCCTCTCTGCACCCTGTATAATGGGGGCTTTGTTGTTTGGTCCTCAAATGAATTCATATTAGCATATAGGAAGTTGATCCCTTCTTTTGCTTAAAAAACAGTAACACATTAAGATAAGCAATGAACTACAACAATCAGAAACTTTCTTTCAGTTTGAATATATATTTTAATCAATTTTATTGTAATCAATTCTAAATATAATCATTGATTATGCCTACTTGTATTCAACTTGATAACTTGGGTTTATATTTAATGAATGTGAACTTCACTTCCTTTTCTTCTTAAGTCCCTTGTCCCTTTTTTATTCTATTAGTAAAGGCATACAATAATCCAATGAATGAGAATATTGTGAAAAAATAGAGTAAGATGCTATTTTCTTTCACGCTTTGCTACTTGCTGAATGACTTGTTTCAATATTTGTCATGTTAACTGACGATTACTTATCACTTTCAACCTTAGGAAAGAAAATCCATTACGTATAATTTAGTATTGCTCTCCAAATTGCTGATTACCTGCATTTTTTCTCAGTCTTTTGCCTTAGCTTCTACACTGTATTTAAGAACAGTATGAAATCTCATATATTCTTTTAATAAAATCTAAAGAACTTAACTTGCTATTATCAAGCCTTAGAAGGTAATCGGTGGAACAATACTTATGTGGTGGCATCTGCCAATTAATCTTTTGACCTTATTACATAAATTGAGTTTTATCTTAGAAACTCTATTCTGAAAGATTAAGTTTGTTTTCTTTTAGAGAAGATTGAACGCACTGTGCAGATTGAAGCCTCAACAGTTGAAATTGAAGAGAGGGGTGTGAAACTACGTCTGACAGTTGTAGATACACCAGGGTATGGGGATGCTATCAATTGCCGAGACTGGTATGTACACAGAGTGTATATTGATCAATGTAGGAAGGCTGACATCCATTTCATATTTGTTTTGAGGGCACTGAGGGGGGAATAAGTAACTGAAGTGGAGCTATATTAGTAACGATACGCAATTTCAAGTAGGACAGCCCAAGTAGCAACCCTAGCTCTTTTAAACACTTCAATTCCAAATTATACTGGTAAGTCATTATCTTCCCTTTTTTGGGGGTGTTATGCAAAGTACTGAATTAAGATTTGTGATTTTTTGAGAGATGGGCATGTTTTCTAATTTTGAGGAAGTTAAATTTAAGTAGTATGAGTTCATTCAGATACATATAAAGTGGCATCAACTACTTCCACACAACTTGAGATACAGTTTGTGCCATGAATATTTTGATTATTTTTTTCTTAATTAAGATTTTTAAGTTTGGAAGAGTTTGAAGTGAACTGTGGCCTTGACTTTTTAATAGTCAGAAAGCAATGGAACCACTGGCACACAAGAAATTCAGCAATACCCTGAGAAAGTAATTAATCTGGTCTTTTGTACAAGTAAAGATTCACCTTTAGAACATGTCCACGTTAATTTGAATATTCTCAGATTCTGTGTTTCATTTTCAAGTGCATTTTCATAATCTTTGGGTTTGGTTGGGTTTTATTGAGAAATTTACTTTATATAAGTACTAACAATCTTGATGTCAATGACAACCAGTTTTCAATGGTTATCCCTCTGCTCATATCTCTAAAGCCACTGAACTTCAAGGCAGGAACTGAGAAAATGAAGTCCCTCCCCTCACAAGTTAATCATAGAATCATGAAATCATAGAATCATTAAGGTTGGGAAAGACCTCCAAGATCATCAAGTCCAACCATCAGCCCAACACTACTATGACCACTAAACCATGTCCTGAAGTGCCACATCTGCATGTTTTTTGAATGCCTCCAGTCACCATCCAGTGACTCCACCACTTCCCTGGGCAGCCTGTTCCAATGCTTCACCACTCTTTCAGTAAAGAAATCTTTCCTAATACTCAGTCTAAGCCTCCCCTGGCTCAACCTGAGCCCATTTCCTCTCATTTTGTCGCTAGTTTCTTGGAAGAAGAGACCTACACCCACCTCACTTTCACGTGTTGTAGAGAGTGGTAAGGTAGAGAGCTTCATCTTTAGACTAGGCAATCCCAGTTCCCTCAGCCAACCTTATAAGACTTATTCTCCAGACCCTTCATCAGCTTTGTCACCCTTCTCTAGGCCTGCTCCAGCACCTCAAAGTCTTTCTCGTACTGTGGCACCCAAAACCGAACACAGTATTCAAGCTGTGGTCTCAACAGTGCCAAGTACAGGGGCACGATTACTTCCCTACTCCTGCTGGACACACTGTGTTTGATACAGGCCAGGATGCCGTTGGCCTTCTTGGCCACCTGGGCACACTGCTGGCTCATGTTCAGCTGACTGCCCACCAGCACCCCCAGGTCCTTTTTTTGCCAGGCAGCTTTCCAGCCATCCTTCCCCAAGCCTATAGCATTGCCTGCTGTGCCAAAATGCAGGACCCAGCACTTGGCCTTGTTGAATTTTACACAACTGGCCTCAGCCCATCAATCCAACCTGTCTAGATCACTCTGCAAGGCTTTGCTACCCTTGAGCAGAGCAACACTCCCGCCCAAGTTCGTGTCATCTCCAAATGTAGTGAGGCTGCAGTTGATCCCCTCATCCAGGTGATTAGTAAAGATATTAAACAAGACCAGCCACAAAACTAAGCCCTGGGGGCACTGCCAAGGTCACCAACTGGGTTTAACTTTGTTCACCACTGGGCTCAGCCATCCAGCCAGTTTTTAACCTAGCATATAGTACATCTGTCTAAGCCAGGAGCCTCGAAATTTCTCTAGCAGAATGCTGTGGGAGATGTCAAAGGCTTTACTAAAGTCCAGGTAGACAACATCCACAGCCTTTCCGTCATCCACCACGTGGATCACCTGGCCATAGAATGAAATCAGGTTGATCAAGCAGGACCTGTGCCAGACTAATCTGATGACCTGTGATGGAGCGGATAAAGGAAGAGCTACTAATGTTATCGTTAGCCACATCTAGAGTGTTACAGTCAATGGCTCAAAGTCTTAAGTGGAAACCAGTGGTATTCTTCAAGGGTTCATAGTGGGACCCATACTATTTAATATCTTCATCAGTGATATAGTGGAATTTTGAATAGTGCAAGTTTGCAGGTGACACTAAGCTGAGTGGTGCAGTTGATTCACTAGAGGGAAGAGATGCCATCCAGAGGGACCTTGGTAGGCTTGAGGAGTGGGGCCATGCAAACCTTAAGTACAGCAAGGCCAAGTGCAAGGTCCTGCACATGAGTTGAGAAAATCCTCAGTATCAATACAGACTGAGAGATCAATAAGCTGAGAGCAGTCCTGCAGAGAAGAATCGGGGGATGCTGGTCTATGAAAAAATTGGACATGAGCCGGCAACATGTGCTTGTGTCCTTGAAAGCAATTTGTATCCTGGGCTGCATCAAAAGAAGCTGAGGTCAAGGGAGGTGAATCTCCCCCTCTACACTGCTCTTATGAGACTTGCATCCAGCTCTGGGACCCCCAGACATTGACTTGTTAGAGTGGATCCAGGGGATAGCCATGAAAATGATCCAAGGGTTGGGACAGTTGTGAAGAACAGCTGAGAGAGTTGGAGTTTTTCAGCGTAGAAGAGGGAAGGCTCCAGGGAGACCTTACTAAGGCCTTTCTGGGGGCTTATAGGAAAGAGAGAGAGACTTATAACCAGGGACTGTAGTAACAGGGCAAGGGGCAGTGGTTTTAAACTTAAAGAGTGTAGGTTTAAGTTGGACCCAGAGAAGTTGTGGATGCTCCCTGCTTGGAATTGCTCATGGTTAGGTTAGAGCAATCTGACATACTGAAAGATGTCCCTGCCCACGGCAGGGTTGGACCCTTCCAACCCAAACCATTCTGTGGTGTTAAATCAATTTTGAACAAGAAATTTAGATTATCTTCAGCATGTGTAATTAATACTAGTCCAGAAGATAAATACTAACCCAAGAGATATTTGCTGTAGCTGTGTGTTACATATATGTATATTTTATCTTAATTAAAAAAATATCCAGAGTAGTTTGTTATTCTGGACTTCCAGTAAAATTTTAAGATATGTACTTTTCTACTCTTAGAGCACCAGTAAATTAATTTTTATCCATCAGCATGTTGTTGATCAGCAGGATATCTTGGTGTTCCAGTATTACGTTTGAAACATCACTAAATTATTGACCATTTGGGCACAAGTGATTTCTTAAACTCATATTTTTTTACAGTTTTAAGACCATAATCTCTTACATTGATGAGCAGTTTGAGCGATATCTGCATGATGAGAGTGGTTTGAACAGAAGGCATATCGTAGATAACCGGGTTCATTGCTGCTTCTATTTCATTTCGCCATTTGGTCATGGGTAGGTGTTTTATCATTTTATTTTTTAAATGATTGTATTTCATGGAGTTGGTTTGTGCCTGTTGTCATAAATTTTAGAATCAGATTGCCATCACTTGAAGTACTAGAACAGCAATTAATTGGTTATCTTCTTTCTCTGTGTGAGTAGAAAGATCTCTATTGCTGTGAAAATGAATTGTTAATTTAGATTAAAAATAAATTAAACGTTTTCCATATTTTTAGTAGTAGTTTTTCCATAATTTTAGTAGCAGTTTAGATTAACAATTTTCCATATCTTAATTTTAGCCTTAAGCCTCTGGATGTTGAGTTTATGAAGGCCATACACAACAAAGTTAATATTGTACCAGTGATTGCAAAAGCTGATACACTTTGTCTGAAAGAGCGAGAAAGACTCAAGAAAAGGGTAAGTATTTTTCTAGCTTGCCAAAAAGTGTTGTACTTTGGTTGTAGCAACATGGTCACTGAAGAGGGGCATTCTTATTCAACTTACTCTGTCCTAACTAAGAAAATTTCAGTCTCTTGCACAGTGTAACATTATTTAGTACGTAGTTTGGTATCTTGTAAATTATTTTATTAGGTATTTAACTGAGAAATTGTCCCTAAAGTATTGCCTGCAAAACGGCAGACTGACTACATTTACAATTACATTATGAATGAATTTTGAAACTTTGGAAAAATATTTAAACATTTGCTAATAGTAATTGCTCCCTTACCTGCTTAGTCAGTCACAAAGAAGAAATGGAATCTGTATCTGTAAAGTGCATATATTTTTTACTCTAGCTGGAACCCTGATGATTGAAAAATACAATTTTCTGATATTTTTCTGATTTTGGGGTTGTTTTTCTTCCCCTATGTCACCCTCTTCTAATATGTTCCAGTTCTTTGTTGCATAGGCAAGACCCGTTAACACATTCAGTCTTGCAGGACTTGATGTTGTACTTGTTGAGGGGGGAAAAAATGCAAAAAACCATCATGAGTTGTAAGAAATATGAAATTTAGAAAGAAGTATTTGAACTAACTTGCCAGAAGGCACACTTGATCCTTTCTTAGCTGTTATATTTAAAACTTTATATATGATTTTTTTCAGTTACTCTGAAAATCCTTATAGTTATCTTACTCAGCTTGCAATAAATAATAGAGAACTATACTTTAGCTTGATACGCGCATTGTGTTAGAATTCCGTAGAAGAAGCTTTTTTTTTAAGTGAAAAATTTGGATTTATGGCAAATGACTCCCCAGCTGTGGATGCCATTTTTAGCAATCATGAAAACAGGGAAGTGTTTGTTCTGTCTGTACCCCCTAACCCCTCAGATAGTAACTCACAAGCAAAAGCAAGGAGTTTTAGGCTATTAAAAGCAGTTATCACTTCTGAGTCAATGCTTTAAAATTTGAGAAAAACAATTACAAATTACAAAAAACTCAGTTTCTTATGTGTAATCTACAAAGGATGATGTTTGTTTGAACACTGTTGTGCTGAATATCATGAAGAATTATGGTATTTGAAAACAAATACTTGCTGCGTAATTTGGATCATTAAGATAGGCCCAGATTTCTCAAGAGACTGTGTAACTTATTAAGTAATTTTACCTCAAGGTTTAAAAGTACTGACTTTACATGTATGTGATCTCAGTTCCTTATGTTATAAATCTCAGATTCTGGATGAAATAGAAGAGCATGGCATCAAGATTTATCACCTGCCTGATGCTGAATCAGATGAAGATGAAGATTTTAAAGAGCAGACCAGACTTCTGAAGGTATGACTGACTTCATAAGTTACATATGTGGATAACATACTGTATCTTTTTGGACTGCCCAGGTGGCTTTAAAACAAGAAACACACTGTGATCTGTGATGAGGCTTTGAGTGACTTGCCCTGTCTCTGTACCTAGGCTTCTCTATCTGGAAGATGATGGTAACAATTACTTGATGGGGCTTTTTTGTATATCTTCAGATTAAAAGCATTACAAACTTATTACCGTAATATGCAGCGCTGAGCCAAACAAGAGTTGTTCTTGGAGTTGTTTGTTCATTGTTAGTATTTTTTTGCATTTTTTGCTTTCAGGCCAGCATTCCATTTTGTGTAGTGGGATCCAATCAACTCATTGAAGCCAAAGGTAAAAAAGTTAGAGGACGACTCTACCCATGGGGTGTGGTTGAAGTGGAGAATCCAGAACATAATGACTTCCTGAAGCTGCGGACCATGTTAATGTAAGTTAGAAAATGCCAATTAAATTTAGGTTAAAATACAAACACCAGGAGGATACTCAAACACTGAACTGGGAATTTGGAGTGGTTGTGAAATCCTTGGAGATGTTCAGAATTTGCCTGAAGAAGACTATAAGCAGTCTTGACCTGGTGACCTCGGCAGAGATTGGACCACATAGGGTCTGTAGTTTCTGTCTAATCTGAATTACTCAGTGATTCTGTGAAAATAATCTTCTATCTAATTCCTTTGTTGAACACAGTGTTGTATTTGTATTCAGATCACCAGGAACAGAATGCAGAAACCTTATGCTTATTTAAATATATATTTATAGAGATGTATCTGCAAAGAAGTAGACATCAAAAGTCCACTGGCTGATTTTTTTTTTAGGCTTTGCTACTCTGCTTCCTCTGCCCAGCAGGGCTTCATCAAATGCTTCATCCAGGAGGACAGCATATGTCAGGGCTGCCTCAGGGTCCGAGGTGGTCTATATGTCTGTTACTGCACTGATTTAACTTCGATTATCTTTTAAATTAGCATGTTAAACTAATGTAGATGCTGAACACATTGACCCAATGCAGTGCTAAAGGTGAGAGTTGGTTAAGCAAGCTTATGTGACGCAGGTATGTTTTATCTTTTAATTATTTTTCTTCCTCCAGCACCCATATGCAAGACCTTCAGGAGGTGACCCAGGATCTTCACTATGAGAACTTCCGCTCTGAGAGGCTCAAACGAGGTGGCAGGTTGTCATCTTTAGTTATATGCTCTTCTTCTGAATTTATTTTTTGCTCTCTCTGTTTCTCTCTGTCTCTCCTACCATTTCATTGCTAAGATTAGGTAGATCACGGATAGGTCTGTAGCACCAAGATCATTTGACCAGCTTACGCTGAATGTCAGAAAAAGTATTACATAAACCTCAAGAGACAATTGTGGCATTAAAGGAACATAGTTGTCTGCTTTATTTTAAGGCTTAAACACAGTTGGATTGGAATGTTTGAGGAAATTAAGTAAGGCAGATGTCTGTGATAAATATCTTTAAAAATCTGTGAGTTAGGTCAGTGCTGGTTTGTTAAAAAAGGTAACTTTTTCCAGAATTAGCTACTGGAATATATGGACTGTGTCTTTAAAAAGAGAAACTCAAGTCCTTCTGCACTGCTTTATTAAACACGGTATACATAAATAATTATATTTATATTAAACATGGTAAACATAAATAATTTTATTTATATAGCAATCGTAGATTAATCTCTTTCAACCCTAATTTGAGCTATGATGGGTAGGGCACAGCTTTCCTGGTAAGACAGACATGCAGAACACCGCATTTTTAATTAAAATAGCAGGGTTTGTGAAGTTGAGTTTATGAGTTCTCGTTGAAAGCTGGCTTAGATATTTCAGTTGCTTCTCTTATTTCAGCCACTAGAGGGTTTCATAATTGTACATTTCAGTGAGTTTGATATCTTTTGCAAAGCTTTTTCCGTCATGCTGTTGATGTGGCTTTTGTCACGTGCTTAGTCAGTTTTCAGGAATAGGAGCTCATCTTTGCTTTATTATTGGCCTTCAAGTCCAGTTTTTCCTTCAGACAGGGTGTCCTGCTCTTCTCTGATTTTTAAATCTTGTCTTCTGAAATTCAAGCTAAAAAAAATTATTTTTGCCATGTTCTGGTACTTGTTATCCAATGAGTATGTACAAAGGTTTTATAAGTAGTGTAATACAAGGTCATCCAAAGTTAAAATAACATTTGCCAATTTTCAGGGGATTTAAAGTTTTATTTGCCAAGGAACTGTGACCGTAAGTTGCCATTACTTTGAGGTATCTTTCTTTGTGAAACTAAAACATGGGTTTGTATCTCTTCTAGGTGGGTGGCCTATATATCTTTGTTTTCACATTTCTGAAGTGGTGCTAGAATATTCTTAAGTTTACTATAAGTGAGTAGTTTGCAAATGAATTAGTTTCAAATTTGCACCTACCTACGCCAGCAGCAGTGCTTGGCAGTTAGTACCTGTTGACTGTATTCACTAATGTTCTTGGAGACTTTTGGGTACAAAAGATTTTCTGACAATCTTTTTCTCTATTAACCTTTTAACAGGCATCAGGTTTTTCTTGCTTTGCACTTTTAATGGCACTTGTATGGTTAGATCTTCCCCATTGCAAAGTGGCATAGGAGAAACCTGTTAGCAAAGTGGTAGGTAATCTTGAAAATATAGTACATAAAAATATTCTTACCTTTAGCTTCTCAGTGTAAAACTGGAACGTCCTAATTCAGCAAGAGTTTGCTGAGGTACTGATTGAAAACATTTGCTTGACAGGATCAATGTTTGTACTACAGTATGCTATACAAAAGAAATCTTTTGGATGTGCAAAAAAAAGTTGACTATTACTAGGTAAATAATCGATCTTCAAAGTCTTAAGTGGAACAGAGGATAAAGAGTTCCTCCAACTGGGAGAATTTCAGATGTGTGCAGTGGTTGTGCTACATCTATGGTTTTGGTTATGAGACTTTTAGATGTTTGGTAGCACATGTAGTTTAAGAAGTTAGAGATGGAGTAGAACTGCATCAAAGGAAACTTCTGCCTGGCGATAGCCAGGTTTCCACATGCAGAATTTCTTAGAGCACATTACTTTACAAGTTGTTTCCATATTCTGGTTGACACATTTTCTAGCATTACCTTGAACTTATATTTTGATTTGGTCGTATTGATTTATTGCACCAAAGAAAGAGAAGAATTTTGGATGTGTTTGTAGTATTTGTCAATTTTCTATATCTGTATGGTACTCAAATTGCAATCAATTAAGATAACATTACGCTTAGGTAAACTGTTATACTCGAATACTGTTCGGAAATGGGGTTTATTGATACCTGCATGCGAAGATCTGTTGTGTTTTAAAGTCATAGCTAGTGTTTGAAGTTTAACTTGTTCTGGGCATAACTTTATGAAGGAGTAAGGAATAAGCATATGCGTTTAAAAACATGACTTGTAGCTATGTGATGTTGCAATGAATTTTGTTTGTATTGTGTAAGTCTGACATATGTTCTAAGAGCCTTGGTTTTGTAAACAAAGCATTCAGTGGAAGTTCAAAATCCATAATGTATGCAATGTTAATGAATAATATTAATCTCATTTTAGGAAAATAGAAGATGAGGAAGTAAATAAAGACCAGATTCTGCTTGAAAAAGAAGCTGAAGTAAGATGACAAAACTCTATGCTTATGATAGGAGAATTTTTGGTTTTATATCACTACTTTAGATCAAATGATCTTTTTATATGATCTTTGTAATTTGTAAAGGAAAAGGCTGAATTTGCTAATATCAAGTTATTCAAGGTGCAGTGAAAAAACAAAGTGAAGAGGTGTAGAGGAGTCTCGGGATACTGATTTACTGGAAGAATTGGAATCTGGGAAAATGCCTGATTCCGTTGTACTAATCAGCGATGGTTGGAATACATGTCGTATGGGGAGGGAGATCCATCCTCACGTGAATGAAGGTTCTAAAGTTAGAAATTGCAGATTGAGTTCAGCTCTGCAGAAAAGGGGAAAACAATGGCAGGAATCATCACAAATAGAGAATGAAACTGAAATTCTTATTGTGACACTATGATAAATCCTTAATACATAGCTCTAACAGTGTTTTCATTGTCCCCCTAACCCAAAAAGAGTATAGCCAAGACTAGAAAAAGTACAGTGAATAGTAAAATGTGGGCAGAAAGACTGAAGCAGGTCTGGTACCTGGGGAGAAAGGTACCTGCTGGTACCTGGGGAGATAAGGTTAATGTTGTTGGCAAGTAGATGAGAGAGAGGAAGGATATAGTAAGGGACTTACATAATCATAGATGACAGGATGAGCAGGAATCTACTAGTTCGGAATTGACAGATTTCAAAAGTTTGAGAGCATATGAATACGCTTTGTGTGTGCCTGGCTGATAGGCTTTTCCATTGCATTTGCTAGTACCCAGTGCTGGAGAGAAGACTGAGTTAGGTGGACTTATTGGTCTACTGTAGCACAAGCAGACACACAGTCTTCTACTAGTGGTCTTACTGTCTACCCAAGTTCCAAAAGATAACTAGAGCAGAGATTAAAAGGGTCTGTATTTTGAGGAATATGATAGAGTCTAAACATTTCACACGTTTAATTTTACATTATTAAGTATGCACAGTTTAGTTTGAGTTTAAAGTGTAGGTGCAAAGACATCCAAAAATACTACAGTAGTGAGGTTGAATTCCAATCTCTCAGAGTTGAGTACAGTAGAAAAATTTAAGTATTCTATATGCAACGTTGTGGAGTGACAGAATACCAGGTTGGAAAGGACCTAAAAGATCATCTGGTCCAACTTTTCCTGGCAAAAGCATGATCTAGAAAAGATGGCCCAGCACCCAATCTAGCTGAATTTTGAAAGTGTCCAAAATTAGAGAATCCACCACTTCCCTGGGGAGATCATTCCAATGGCTAGTTGCTCTCATGAAAATTTTTTCGCTTGTGAAACATAATAAGAATTAATCTTAGTAGCCAAGTAATATGACTAGCCTGTGTTTAAATGTTGCAGTGGTCTAAAACTGAGCTTCAGCCATTTTTTATAATGCTTATGCCTCCTTGCATGGTTTGATTGTAATACTTGCTTCCACCTAGTCATCACTAGCAAGGGAGTTGGGAAGTAATCCTGACAACTTTTTTAATGACAGATACAGGTGTAGTTTGGAGTGACATAAACAAGCTGCTTTTCTTTTGTTCATAAGCTTTAGTAACTGTTTCTTTAGCACTTCAGCACCATCATTTTTATGCATTTAACTGCAGAGGAAGCAGAGACTTCAATTTAGGGATGCTTAAAAATCCCAAATTACAGTAATAAAACTTGCTTATTTCAGTCAATAAACTTCCAATCTTAAGGGCTGAAGAAGAGCAGTAGAAGATGTCGTAACCTGAGATTGTAACTTACCAGATAAAGATATTTCAGATATGTGTTCCTGTGGTGGCAGCAAAGAATCATATTCTGAGGTGAGATTAGGCTACAGGATTCTTCTGTGCTACTTCTCCAGCTTCGTCGCATGCAGGAGATGATTGCAAGAATGCAGGCACAGATGCAGATGCAGATGCAAAGTGGAGAAGGAGATAGCAGTGCAGTTCATGGACACCACATATAAAGTCTTCGGTAAGATGTTCAAATGGCCGCTTAAAGGCTTTTCCTTTTAACTCTTCATTTTAAAGTTTTAACTGCAGTTTGTGAAGTGAAAGGTCTTGGAGCCAAATTAAACATTACTTTGGGGGAGTGTGTGTGTGTATATATATATATATATTTATACATATACACACACATACTGCAGGAGGTCTCTCACCAGAGTTAACAGCACCCTGTGGGCAATCCCCTTCTTTGGCTGGACTGTAACACACTTTCTTACCACTTCACACTGTAGCTTGTCTTTGACTTTATGCTGTAGAAACTGCTGCTATAACTGCAAGTCTTATACTGGAGGCTGTGTTTTTATACTGTGTTTTTGTACTACTTTTGGAGAAGTATTTGCAAAGAGTTTCCTTTTTTAATATACCTTTATAAAAACTTGTGTGTATATATATGTATACTCACACAAATAGGTTTCCAAGTTTCCCAAAAAGTCAATACAATATATACTGGCAAGAATCATGGAAGGAGACTTTGAATTTATATGAACAAGTGATTCTCAAGCTCATGATGAACTCAGTTTTTCATTGTGACTTTTAAAATGTGTGCAGTTCTTTCAGATTTCTAATTGTAAGAAGATGAGTGATCTTAAATTGTATTTTTCTGTCTTATTTTTAGATTACTTTATACACTGACTTAAAGGAGACCTTCTGGAGTTAAATTATGATCGTGTTACACCAGAGAGGATGCGTTTTGCTCAATGTGTGACTTGGAGTTTGCTTTAGAGTTTAATGTGGAAATCTATTGTGGTCACTCTTGTGATATCAGTTTCATAACATGTAGTCAGTTGGTATTTTATATATTACACACATTTGACTTTGATTTTGTTTAGTAATTCTTATATTGAGTTCAGTTTCAATTTCCCAATTGTATTAGGGTTACAAAATGCCTGATACGGTGTTAGACAACTTTTTTTTTAAAATATGGCTTATTAGGTCCCTGCTTTTAACTTTGAATTACATGTAGAAGTAAAGAGCTGTCAGTGATACCTTGCTGAGTGGCATGTAATAGTTGCCTCATTAAGGATCCATGCAAATTTAATTCTATGTTTTTTGTAGTTTTTTACAGTGTGTGTCTGTGAGACCGTCAACCATTTTTCTGTCTCTGCTCAGTGCAGATGATTTCTATGGCTTATGCAAGTATCAAATTAAAATTCAACCATGCCTTGCATCTTAACGAAATAATTAAGAGGATGCACACTGTATTTTATATGACACACATAATTTCTTTCAGATTTAACCTTGAGGGACATATATTCTTTATTGTTTGTCTAAAATTTCCTACTCTACTGCAGATAATTAAGAGTTTCTTGTAGGTCAGCACAAATCAGTCCTGCTATTTTCTGGCATTACTGTAGCCAAATAAACTTGAATGATGCCAATATTGTTAAATGCGGTAAACCCCAAGGAGTAGTTTTCTATGCATGGGGGTTTCCTATATCCGAATACGTAAGAACTTCTGTAATTCCTAATGAGTATTTTCATACTGTTTTTAGGGCATTGCAAATTGTTAATTGTAGTATAAAATATATACCAATACACTTGTCTTTTTTAAAAGTGATCTGTGCCTGACAGGATCAATGCAATCTGTATTTTAAGGTCTTGCTCTGAGATGGAGTTAGCAGTATCTTTTTTTTTTTTTTTTTCTTTTTTTAAGTGAAGGTCACTTTACTTAACACCAATAGTTAAAGTAAAGGAGACTGTTTTGTGGCTTGGCTGGACTTCTGCATAACATGTCTGGTGCTGTATTTGTAGCATGTAATAGCAGCCACAGTATGCAGCTACACGAGTGGTAGCTGGTGTAGGGTAAGAAGTAATGCACCATGGTTGGTTTTTTTTAGTACTTCTGATAAAGCCAGCAATCAGATTTCCTTATCTGATCTGTTACAAAGCGTTGTTATCTGAACATTAATAGATAGATATAGATACAAATATAGATATAGAATTGCAGTTTCTTTCTCTTTGAGCTCAGGTGGAGCTATGACTTTCATAAATTTTTTTTTAATATTTCTTTGAAAAAAGTAATAGGACTTTCTTTGAAAAAAGTAATAGGACTTCTACAACTAATGCATAATTCCAGTGGTACTTGAGTGACTAGATTAAATATAAACTTACTAAGCAACTGAAAATTTTACCTGCCTGAAACTACTGTTTATGAATTCTTTTATATTTGTACCTTCCTAAAAATGTGAAGTATAATCCTGCATTGAAACATTTGCTAGGGAGCTCCAGATTTTCTTCTCCAAACCAATTACTGTCAAAGTTTTGCACGATTCAGTAGACCTTCTCTGAAAGTGAGAAAATGAGAATCTTTTTTTATGTTGAGATGCACAAACTGTTAAGTTCCATTTTGTCAGATATTTACATATGAAACTTTGAAGTGCATGTTTTGCCATATAAGGTCTTGTCTTGCCTTTGTGAAAGAATATGTAGAAGCAAAGTAACGTGGAACAGTTGTTGGAAAACACTCCACAATGCCTTACTTATTTCTAAAACTTTTTTGCTATGTTTTTGTGAATCGGTTGTCCTAAGTTTACCAAAATAAGTTACTATAAACTTAAGTCATTGATTGCTTTTGTGAAGTCCCATGCAGTTCTTCATTTGTCACAAATCTGTGGGGATTTTTATCTGATAATGCAGCATTTGTCCATTTTAAGCTATTTCGTATTACTCTGTTAATTTTGAACACAGCATTTTTCAGATGCTGTCCATTTTGCCAAGGAGAGCAACTCTGGGACATTCGTGTTTTCACCTATAAGTTTGGTAGGGTGTGGTGGGCTGCAATAGCACTATGAACCCATACTTGAAGCGAAACTGTGAAATCTAAAATGTGTGCAAAAGAGGACTGGTTGTACATGTAAATCCCTCTGGGTATGTTGGTTTGATAGGTACTTTGCTATATTTTCTAATATTGGAACAAAAGCAGATTGTCCATGCATATAGGGTCACTACCTGTGGAATTATTTTAAGCAATGTCTTATTCTTTGAAATATCACATATCTCTTAAAATATTTGATCACGATAAAGTATTCTGATTCTTAAGCAACTAATTTTTGGTCTACAAATTCTAGCAGGAGAAGTATTTTCATGGTTTTAGTTCTGTTTTTTTAATGGAAAAAAACCAAACTAAACCAAGTTTATGGTACTTGCCATTTTAACAGAAATACTTAAGACATCTAATAGCTGCTTCTTCCCAAGTCTTTGAGGCACTCGTTTGTGGTGTGCCTGATGTCCCTGAAGGTCTATTTCCCCTTCACTTTTGTTGTGATGGTCTTATAATTGGTCTTTACATAAAAAGTGGGACTGCCTTTCTCAGATTCTGTTTCAGACAAACTCAGCTACTGGTAGAAAAAAGATAGGTAGAAGAAAGTCTTGGAGACAAAAGGTAGATACTGTTTTGTGTCTTGCTGAACTGGCCACAGTTCTTTTTCTGTTACAACATTGTAACTGTTCTTATTTTAGAAGTCAAAATACTTACGAATTTGCAGGGCTTTTTAGTTGGTAGAAAAAATTACTTGCTCCTTGTACAAAAATCTGTTGTAGTCTGTTTTATGTACTGCCATTAGCCAAAACTAAAATAAAAATGCTAAAATACCCTTTTGTTGTTGTTACGATTCTTTATTATAATCAACCTTGGCAATATTAACTTGTTCATGGTGATATGTTTTAAATATAAAGGAGAAATACAGATGTGGTCCAAAGAGAGCACATTGATGAACCTGCATAGAGTATGTTCATTAAGTGTTGCATACTCCACAAGCGTAGTACGGTGTATTTCCCTATGGGTGTTCCCAGAGCTGCCAAAGTCCTACCTGTGGGATCTCGCTTTTACAGCATCTCTCATCAGACTAGCATGTCCCTTAATTATTATGTTAGCATAGAATGAAGCTACTTGTTGTTAGGTGGTGCGTTGTTTTCTCAAGATTCATCTCTAGAGAGAGAGTGAAATGGAGTTTGTTGTTCTAGATATTCCAGAGTAGTTTAGGGTTCATCTTCCTGTCAAACAACCTCAGTGACTCCTATGGCTGGTACAGATTAAGAGCAGAAGGCTGTGTCTTTAGTTTTGGATTCTTGAGCTAAATGTTAATACTAGAGTCTTTTACAGCGGTACTCTAAATTTGGAATGTGTCACTTTTGCATGAGCCCTGGTCTGGACAGCGCTCTTTGGGTTGCTGTATTGGATTATGTTGTATTGCTGGGGGCACAAATTATGCACTCCACAGGTAAAACTTAGGCATGTTGTGACCCTTCGTGCGTGGTTTTAAAGTATGTTGATGTTTCATTTATCTGAAGTATTTAGTGTGGAACTGGCACATTAAGATTCATCTTTAGGCTATAGTGAAAGAAGAAGCAAAGAAGCATCCTGAATATGTCAGACCTACTCTTTGAAAGAAGCCTTTTTGTTCGTACTGATTGTATTCTTTTTCAGAATGGCATCCTATCTGCTCGGTGTAGAATTCAATTCTGGAAAGGAGTGCTAGAAAAGAATTGCACTAAGAGTTGCACAATGGAATAATGACTGGAAAACTTAATATTAAAAAATCTTCCACATTTGTTAGTTCCGTGCACATAAGCAAAAAGAATGGAAATTGTGGACAGGGATTGAAATAGCATGTCAAAACTGACATGTAAAACACCTCACAAAACTACGTTAACATATCGTAAGCTTTCTGTTCAAAAATGTGTGGATTAGTGCCACTGGTCTTCTCAATCCCTACACTCATGTAGGG